TTTAGGGCTGCCGAAAGGGGCAGGCATCTGAACTTAGTGACCAAGAAAGGTCAGGCAAGTGTGTGTTCAGCTGTTATCGCTCCCGAAATGGGGAGCTGGTGCCTTCAAGATAATACTGTGTAAATAATAGACACCAGACCCCAAAGGTCACACACCATGTGATTCTCATTATGTGAACCATACATATTAGGCAAGTCCATAGACACAGAATTCAGACCATATACAGAGTCCATTCGATGACTTCCTGGTGCACCTGGTGCTGATTCATGGGATGAGGCTGTTGAGAGATAGGGGAGTGACTGAGATTGTGATGTGGCCTCCAAGTCTCTCTGATCACACAATCCCTTGATTGAATCCTCCAGTACCCTTCACAGGAAGAACAGCACACCTCGAGATTTGGAGAAGCTGCAGTAAGATGGAAGAGGTGAGGACAGATCTAGGGCCTGGTTCCCATCAGGTCTCTCACAGGCAGAGACATGGGCAGGGCCATTATAACAGGAGTAGAGACACCTGGCCGCCTCAGTCCAGTCATCGGGACAAGAAGCAGATCTGGTATTCTTGGGGCACTCTGCCAAAGCCACTCTCCTTGGGACTGAGGTCAATGTCCTTAGGATCCACAGGACTGGACAAGGAGAAGTTCTGGAGCATGGTGGTGAAGAAAAGGAACAATTCATTGCGGGCGATGCCTTCTCCAAGACAAATGCGCTTTCCTGTGGGCACAGAGGATGAGCCATGTGAGCCCCAGGGCAGTGTACAACCTTCAGACTGTCCCATCCCTAAACCATCAGGCAGAGCAGCTGGGATAGACTCAGGAAACGTGGACCTAGTCCTGTCTGTAAGAAGGTTTGACTCTCAACCTGCAATTGACGTGACAGCATTAAGACATTCCTAGCCTGGCTTCCCGATAAGTCAGGACATCTTTGCAGCTCCAGAACTGTAACATTCACTCTCTTACAAGTATCTTCTAGAATGCAACAGGAAAGGCTGGAGGAGTTCGCTCTTTGAAGAGAACTTGCTTAACACACACCCATCCCTGGGTTTCACAGTTGTCAGCATTCCCTGACTGACATATGCAGACAGTCACTTCAGCAGTAAGACACTAGGAATGCTGGGAAATCAAGAACAGGCTGGTACAAGGATGGAGGAGAAGGTAGGAGGCTCATGGAGTAGAGATGTGGAATGGCAGCCGGTCTCACCTTGGGCAAAGGCTTAGGCATTATTTGTAGAACTCCACTTTCTCCAAAAGATAAGGAAGCTGAACACAAAGTTTTCATGTTTACATCCAATAGAGTCCATCAAAATGAAGTAAATTGGGCCAAAGGGAGCTTCTGTATGTAACTAACCAAACACAGCAGGCAATCGAGCTACACACTAACTTGAGATTATGCTATTATAGTGAAGAACAAATCTCAGTCACTCAGAGCAGTTGACCTACCCCAGGCTGGCAACTATTCCAAAATGGCCAAGTAAGGTAAACGCAGAGCTGGCACCAATCAGGATCGCACTGATGCTTTATTCAGGAAAGAGTCCAGCAAGAAGATGCGCTTGAAAAACTCATTGCACTTCTGGGTACAAACAACTGTTTTGTTTTTGAGCAGCTTTCTATATATACCTGTGTTTAAAACTAAATTAAATTTCTCTTCTGTGAGTTTCAACCTAATTTCTGCCAGGTTTTTTAAAAAAGAAAGAAGAACACACAGCAAAGGGCTGTAATTTTAATTTTGATGTCTCTTAAAATTCAACAAAAGTGCAAACAGGGGAAAGTGTGTGAAGACATGCCCAATGTCACCAGTGCTCACAGCTAAAGTCAATGTCTCCCCAGCCATCAAGACTATAACAATGGTGTTGGTGTGGCAGTGTGAGGGAAAAAAGCAGTAAAAATTGTCACCTTTGCAAGGAAATGAATTGTCACACACAGCACTGTGGATAGACAGTGTCAGCTGTTCTTGCTGCTGTTTCCTAAGAAAATGATGTGCTCAGGCTTAGAGGACTTTAAATACCTCCCCAAAGTCCTCCTGACCAGGATTCTCTTTTAGGTCAAGATACATGCATTCATACACATATATATACATACACACATGCACACATACATATACACACGTGCACACATACATACATACATACATACATACATACACACACACACACACATGGAGGAAGAGCCTTCCCTCTAGTGTCAGGGAGAGGAATCACAGGTGAGTCTCACCTATAGAGAAGGGCATAAAAGCTTCATTTTTCTTCTAAAACTTGCACATGCACCCTAATTTTACATGAGGTTTTATATTAAAAACTCAAGGCTGTATCCTCAGGAATATAACCGAGAAGTAGGTAGGTTAGCAAATGTATCTATCAAGGAATGGATGTAAAAATGAATACATAAGAAAATTAATGGATAAATCAGTTAATAAATGGACAGATTGAGGAGTTAAGGAAATGAACAGACTAAACACTAGATTATGTATTCAACTTACAAGGCAACACAAGATTGAATTAGTGGATAAATGGAGGAATGGATAAAGAAGAGAAAGATGAATTGAAAGGCCAGTTAGTGAAAGGATTAAGGAATAACACCGTTGACAGAAGGATACATGAGTTATGAATAAATCAAGGATGAATAATTTTTTTCAATTCTAATGATCAAAGGAAAAACGTAGCTGATTTGCTGAAATAAATGAATGAAATGTTTGGTTGGGTGATTGAAGGATCAATTGGACAATGGATAGATATATGGTCGAGTGGGTGGGTATTAGGGGTGTGTGAGTGTGAATGAGTGTGTGAGTGTCTGTGTGTGTGTGTATGAGTGTGAGTGTGTGTGTGAGAGAGTGTCTCTCTCTCTCTCTGTGTATGAGTGTGTGTGTGTATATGAGTGTGTGTGTGTGTGTGTGTGTGTGTGTGTGTAGATGGAAGGATGTTGAGTTACAGGTGTTTGGATAGATGGATGTTCAGATGGTTGGGAAAATGAAGGAAGGGATGGTGGATGGCAGGTGGGTTGGTGGGTGGACAGACAGGTGGGGGAATGAACAGAGTAAGTGTGGGTGAGACATGCATGGATGGAAAGATGAGTGAATAGAGGGATGGAAAGATGGGAGGAAGGAAGGAAGGAAGGAAGGATGGATGGATGGATGGATGGAAGGAAGGATGGATGGATGGATGGAAAGATGGATTGATGGATGGATGGAAGGATGGATGGATGGAAGGATGGATGGATGGATGGATGGATGGATGGATGGATGGATGGACTGACCAGCAGATGGAGGAAAGACATTTGTACAAAGCGTGTATGGACAAGCCGCCTTCTGCTCTCGTGGACTGTGCTCATGGCTACTATGGCTGGCCTGTCATCACTTCCTATGATTCTGTATGCATAAGCAGCGGATGGATGGATGGGTGGGTGGATAGATGGATAGGTGGATGGATGGATGGATGGGTGGATGGATGGAAGGACGGATGGATGGAAGGATGGATGGATGGATGGATGGATGGATGGATGGATGGATGGATGGATGGATGGATGGAAGGATGGATGGATGGATGGAAGGACGGATGGATGGATGGATGGATGGATGGGTGGATGGATCAACCTTTAAATGATAGGAGAGAACAATGGAAAACGGATCATCTGAGGGTTACTTCACAAACCACCCACAGCACTGCCCTAGTTTAGAAGTAGATCAAAGCCTTCAGAGTTCCAGATGGAAGAGACACATGTCTCTCTCGTTCACACAAACCTCCACAGCCAAGAGGAAGCTAGAAGCTCCCCCACCTGACTTCCTGGGACGCACCTGCAACATGGGGGTATTTGAGCATGAGCAGGAAGCCATAGCGGAGCGTGGTGCTGCTGGTCTCGGTGCCAGCAAAGAAGAGAGACAGCACGGAGATAATGAGGTTCTGGTGATGGAACTCCGTGTGTGGATTGGACTTCTCCTGGTTCCAGATAGGAGAGAGACAGGAGGGGCGGCCTTTTGTCCCTTGTCCTGTGTGTCTTGCACAGCCTTCTTTCTCCCTGTTTCATCTTCTCCTCCCTTTCTCTATTCTTCATTTTCCAGATGCTTCTGCATCTCCTCCACTCCATTTCCTGTCTCTCCTCCCCATCCTCTGCACCTCATTTCCTCTGCTCACATCCTCAGCCCTCACTCTCTCATCCCCTCTCACTCATGCAGGACTTACCTTCTCCATGCGTAGAAGGTAGGTATCAATGAAGTCTCTTGGATTGCTGGCGTCCAATGTTGCCCTGTGCTTCTCCACACTGTGGTCAATGTAGTCAAGGATTTCCTTCATGTTTCTGTGGATTTGTTTGTGAGTACCAGGAAAGTATTTCAGGAAGCCAGAGAAGAGCTCAAACACCTGCAATAAAGAAGGGTCCAGAAGGTCACCTGGAGCTATCAGTCTCAAGAAGCAGGATGCGTTCCTAGGTCCCCATATTTCATGAGGATCCGCGCTCTCTCCTTCTAACCTCCCCACTTCCCTCCCTTTGTTTTCCTGCTCTCATTTCCTAATCTTCTCTTGCTCCCTCCTTTCCCTCTCATGCACATGAACATAGGGCATGCTGTCAGTGTGTTTCTCTGAATCTTTCACCAGCAATTGTCCTGAATTCTCTCTCTCTCTTTCCTAAGGCTTCTTTTTTGTTTTGTTTTGTGTTTCAATCAGGGTCTCCAGTCTTTCACACTGTCCTCAAACTCAATATTTATCCAAAGATGTCCTTGACCTCTGCTCTCACATGTACTGGGATTGCTTATGTGTATCAACCATCCTGCCCTATTTTGTGCTAGAGATAAACCCAGGCATTTATTAAACACAACAGACAAGTACTCTGCCCTCTTAGCTACAACCAGAGTCCCCAAGTCATCATTTTCTCATGTCTGGATTGCTCTGTATTTCTTCATTCAGATCTCCCACCCTGTAGACCACCTTCCCCCTTCCCTCCCGGCTGGCCTCTCCATGTTTCCCCATCCTGTTCCCCATCCCTCTGTCACTCCTGCTCTCACCCTCCTTGCCTCTCCATGTTGTCTCTGCGTTTCTTCCAGCCCTAGAGCACTCCCTTCTGTACACAGAGAGCAGCCTCCTCTTCCTCTGCTGTGGATTTTCCTCTCTTCCCCCCCACTGACCTGGCTGGAGAAGGAGCTGATGAGTGAGTAGATTTGAAAGATCAGGTCCAGCAGGCGCAGGAATTGGCGATCTTTGTAGTCAAAGCGCTCTCCAAAGACAATGGAGCAGATGATGTTGGCTGTGATGCATTGGAAGAGGAACTTGGGGTCCAGGGGGGCTCCTGGAGGATGAAGAGGCAGGACAGGAGACATGGCATCAAGTGGAATGTTTGCCATTGGCCCCATCTCTGTAAAGCTGTCCTCATCACTCACTACTGAAGTAATAACAATGCCTGCTACCTGATTTGCACATATGATGCACCAGGTCCTGCTCTCATGATTGTACACCAGTTTATATAGTTTCCTCTCAATATTGTACATCAGATGCAATGCTATTAGTACACACAGAGACAGTAGCTAACTTCTTCATGGTAACACAGCTACTCATGACTGGGACCAGGATTCATACCAGGGAGCTAAGAGTGAGGAGAGCATGTGTAAGTTAGTCCCCACCCTGCACATCCTCCTATGACAACTTTCTGACTCTGAGCTAACATAGTTAACTCCCACTGGTTGTTTATGTGGATTTAGAAGTCTTTCCTTGCTCCTTCTCTGATTCTATACTCTGTGAGGCTCCAAGAACCATCAGCGCTTCGTGCCTGCTGCCTTTGTATTCTCGGTTCCATCATGGGCTCTCATGGTGTCAGGGATGTTGGCAGTCCTTTTCTGACTTTGAGCTAACATAGCTAACTCCCACTGGTTGTTTATGTGGATTTAGAAGTCTTTCCTTGCTCCTTCTCTGATCCTAGACACTGTGAGGCTCCAAGAAGCATCAGCGCTTGGCGCCTGCTGCCTTTGAATTCTCGGTTCCATCATGGGCTCTCATGGCGGGAGGGATGTTGGCAGTCCAGCAGTATTGGGTCATTGTTGTCCCTCTCTCTGGGTCTCACTTGTCTGTCATCCCTGAGTCTCTGCAGATCTTGCCCTTGAGTTTGTCAGTCTTCATCTGTCTCTCTGATGATTTCCTGCATAAATGTCTTGCAGCATTTTTGTCTCTTTCTCTTCTCCCTCCTGCTACTACTTCCTCCCCCCCTCTACTCCTATGACTCTCCTGACCCTGTATTTTCTCTTCTGTTTGGTTCCTCTTGCTCCATCTCAGCTTCCTGGTCTCTGTCACTCTGTTTTCTCCTTTTTTCTTCTTAGTCCCTTGATTCTCTCTGCTCCCTTCCAGCCTCTGCATGGACATCTCAGAGACTCCTGAGTGATCTTAGGATAATTCTTGGGATAAACACCAACATGGAGCCGGGCGTTGGTGGCGCACACCTTTAATCCCAGCACTCAGGAGGCAGAGGCAGGCGGATTTCTG